GCTTGTTTTTTTATCCTTGCAAACAGCTACATGTAGATTGCCCATGGAATTAAGACTTGTCTGTCTGTCATGTTTGGCAGTGAAATCATAATGACAGAAAGGTGACGTTTGAAAAAAAAATGATTTGTAATTTGTGTTTTGTTATCCCACTCGGGTCTCACAAATTATTTGAAACTTCAGCTAATTACGCTCTGAGTATACAAAGTTCACTGTTCTTACTGCCTGAGGCATTTGGCCATTCAATCTCAGTGTTTGTCATTTTGATCTGCTGCAGTTGAGTCTAATTTGGGCCAATCCAGGAAGAGTTCATGTCGGTACAGGAATCTCAAACTTGCGCTAAGCGGCAGGGAGAGTCAACGAACGCCCTGGGCCCTGCTGGGTGATGTGGTGCCCCCGCTCTGCTTACAACTGAAATATGAGGGAAGGAAAAAAAGTGACAACTGAGAGAAAACTAAATACACAGCTGCACAGACCAGGCATTTGGTATGGCAGACCAGTAGACACATGAAATGGAATTTAGCTCAATTTTATTTTTCTCTAATAAGGATACAAAGCTTGAATGCATTGTGTGAAAAAGGTGCGCATTCCAAGAACTGCTTGCAACTTTTAAGCCAAGGGTCCAGTACTTGTTACATTGTATGTGTTGATTTATTAATTTAGAGCAGCATTTTTGTGTTTTGTTTGGAAATGTTTGCTCTTGGATTGTTGGTTGACATCCACTCCATGTTGTATGTCTCAGGATCTATGGCCTGTGATACACACGCTTGGCTTGAAATTGGAAACAAATCTGGACTTGCCACAGGGCAGGATGCCACATGGGTTGGCAATGATGTCCAGAGGAAGTAATCGGTGCAATCCCAGGAAATTAAAGGGAAGTTGCAATTTGGCTGTTCGGCTTGTCCAGAATTTATCAGCTCTCAACAAGCTTTGAAATGCATAATTCTGATGTGCCAATGGTTGGAACACACCCAAGTGTTCATCAGTGATTGGCCACATTTGTGTGTGTGTTTTTTTTTAACATTTCCTTTAAAAAATATTTGTTGGGGCAACTTGTACTGTATATGAATGGTTTCATTTCTTAGGTACTGTAGCATAGTGTACCTGTATGTGAACTTGAATTTTTCATTTTTTTCCCCTGAATATTTTGAACCTTCATTTAATTGCTGAAAACTTTGACGTACCAGGTATGAATGTAACTTGAGATGTCATTCATTCAAGCACTGTTTCTTGTGGAACCATACTTTGGATCTTGAATAGACTGTATTCGCGGGAGACCCAATTTCAGTCATATTCCTGAACGTGTTGTATGCATTTAAAACCCTTAATGGGACGGTACCAGGTGATTTAGGGAATCAGAATGGAATCATTGAATAGAGTCTGGTTCTTGAAATTTAAGATTTTCAAATGAATACTCTACGTTGGGAATCTGACTGAAATGGGGCCCCCTGCGAATACTTTTTTACAGTGTGTATGGACTTGCAGGTCACATCGTTCACAGCTTGGCCTTATGCATACTAAATTTATAAAGTGGAATTCAGTTGTGTAAAACAGGTTGGAACTGGTGAATGATTAACACGGCTGTGGAAGATTTTTGATTAACGCGTTCATTCTGCAGCACACAATTCCACCATTTTGTCATTAGTCGAATCCAAAATTATTCTCCCCCCAGCCACACATGTACATGCATTAAGCTACCTGCAGTGATAGACGTTGGTGTTGTACACTGATAATATAAACAGTAAGGAGAATGAATTCCATTTAGCCAACAATTTGAGTAGGACAACCCAGCATGTGGGTTACATATGCAGCAAGGTATGAGATGGAGAGAACCCCCCTGCTTTGTGTTGGTCATTGTCTTGCAGGAATCTGGGGAATTCCTTTCAGATATCTTGGGGGGATGTGTTAAGTAACAATAGTCTGGAATGTGTATAGGGAGTGGACATGTTGGGGGGGGTACCCCTCGGTCTCATTTCTTGCTGGGTATAGTGGGTTTGGGCCTGGCAATTGATGGACGGGGTCTGGTCTGGACTGGCCTGGACTCAACTGGCTGTGGTATGGTACCATACATGTACATGTACCACCCATTTACCTTGAATGAATCAACGATAGTATTGGTGATCCCTAGCAAGTGGCACTTTCAGTTGTAAACTGTGGGTGTTCTTTTCATTTTTCAATTGTTCAGCTGCTCCTTCGCAGTGCACCAAAAAGTCGGACACAAGTGACTGTGCTTTCAGAAAACCAGGAAGGCGAATTGTTTTGCGATCTCTTTTATCCACTTATATATATATGTACAAGTACAGTTGAAGGTACATGTACATTTACATGTAGTATGGCTTAGGTCCACTGGCTTAGTGCCAGATAAAACAGTGATGGATGGGCCAAGCATATTCACTCCCTCAGACTAGCAAAACACAACGTCATTAAAAAGGATTACAGAAAGCCTGGTGTTTTTTTCACTACAGTGTCTTCACAGACCACTTCATAAGCTTGTTCCTACGGAGTCGATACCTGTACATATGTACATGTAAACATTGTACATGTGTGCACCATTTCTGTTGGTGTTGCATACCGGTATATCAGCAGGATCAAGAGGGAGAATATTTTTGTTGAGCGACAATAGTCCTTTGCAGTGTCTCATTTAGCCACCACTCCACCTGTCCTCAGGACGGGCAAAAAGAAACTCGGGCAGGCACAGGCAGTTTTTACTCGCAAACCCCCACCCCTTTTATTGCCCCGCCCAGTCAAATTATGGCCAGCTGACAAAGTCGAAGGGACATACATGGACATGGACATGGACATGTCCTGTTTTTACCTTTTCCTTCTGTGGGTGATTGTGCCCATACAAGTCAGTGTGATAACTTGAGAAATCTTTTGCATTGAAACTTCAAACTTTGCATCTGCATTCTGTCTTTGGTAATCCTGTAAGCCTTTCGCATTAATGCCTGAAAGGTCAAGGGTGAAGGATACAATTTGAATATTTTTGTGTCCCAGAAATCACAGATGTGGGTTTATGCGTGGGCTTGGCAGGGTATTTGTGTTTGTTAATTAACACTTCATTCTTGTTTTTACAATAATCTTTTAACAGTGGTGACTAAATATTCGTATTTCCTTCCAAAGCATTGGTCTTAATGGAGATATGGCCTCAGATACTATAGCACTAAGGGGTATCAGTTTTAAAAGTTTCATTGGACTGGACAGGTACATGTAGTTTTCAAACCTTTGCTGGAAAGGACAAACATGTTGCAGTCCGAGATTAAACCCTGGCCCTTTGTAGGGAACTCATCCCTTGCGTGCACTGGTTCGTGGTTGTTTGGCATGAGACACACTGATCATGAAACAACACGACCAATTTCCATTTGAATGTACAGTCTTCTCGTGGGAGCCTGGCGTGTACAGGTGCACTTGAGCCTAGTTGAACCTTTTTCCCACGGGCATGTCTCTTCTTTACTGGCGTTGGTGCGGATTTTCTTCCTCAACCATCCCCCTCCCCCCAGAAAGAAAAATTAAATCAAGCAATGCCTGTAAGTATTGAGAAACTGAACATTTTAAACATGACGTACTCTTTACTTTGGAAGGAATTTCAGACAAGTGAAAAAAAAAGGAATATGTACCGGTACATGTAATTTTACATGTAGTTTTCTTGCTATTGCTATTCCAGTACTCGTATCTTACATGTGCAGGTACAAGTATGTATGGTTATCCAGCTGTCTAGTAAAAACCGGTAGAAAAGGTTAGGAAGAAAGCTTGCTACACTGTTTAGAGTAAACAATACTTGTACATAAAAGTACCGCTATTTACAATGCTGAAAAGTACATGTACATGTAGAACCATTACAGAGTTGGTGTTGCAATGCATTTTGAGAAAAAGGTGAATTCCATGTTTGCATGCTTCCCTCCCAGGTTTTGTGAATATGTCCAATTCAAATGTGGCATCTGACATTTACATGTAATTCTATTTGACATTCTGGTGTGAAAACACTATGTAAAAACAACCAAAGCCCATTGTAACAGAAGCAAAAAAGGAAGGGAATGGAACA